CACCAATAGACTGGTTCACAGGCAAATATATAAATTATATAATTGTAGTTATTGTTATTTTATTGTCAGGAAAAAGCGCACATCTTACTGACTAAGGTACTATTTTTTTTTGAATTGAATAACTGCGAAATATCGATGAGCATTCGTTTCTATAACCGAAGACTTACTTTATTCACGGTATACGGCGGTCTAAAATAATTAATGACATATTATGCCTTGTATTCATAGAATTTTAAAAACAGTATCATATAAATATAATAGATATTTGCTTTAGTGTTTAAAGTTTTCAAAAAACTCACCTTCAATGAATAGAATATTAATTTGACAAGTTATGGGGCAAGTTCAAATTGATTGATTGATTGTGATCACTTCAATTTAGCTTTACGATGTTTATTATATCATTGGATACTTCATTAGTTCAGGGCAGATATTGCTAAAACTCTGTTGTCTACGCTTTTCTGTCGAACGTTCGTTGGAGAAAAATTCCACGAGCTTTTTTTTAAACGAAAGCCCGTACAACAGGTAGTATGAAATTAGTTTAGCTCTCATCAATCTTCTTTAACGAAGTGCCAAGAATGTTCTATTGATTTCGTGTTGGCTGCAAATTAAGTCTCTCGAACCAAAGTAATTTATTGGCAGCCCCACAATCCGTATTCAGATGATCGTTGCTGATTAACAATATTTAGTGTACACATTTGTGGACACGCGTAGAATTTGTTTATCTAAATTTATATTCCAACGATATTGTAATCTCTGAAACTTACATAGAGTAAAATTTGAATAGAGAAAGTAAGATATTATCCTTTAATTCCTGGGTATTCAGTTGGAATGTTTGTCGTAATTTGTGATACATTATAAAATTAAAAGACAAGCATTATCATAAGATTAACTGAACCTGTCCAGGACGGTGATACCGGTGGTGCGTATAACTCACATTTTAGTTTCGGCGACATTTTCATAAATATACAACCAACTATTCACCTGGTTAGAAACATTTAGACCCGCTCATTTTTTTCCAACTGTTTATTTCCAATTGCGGGTTATGTCAAAATTGATATTTTTAGTCAAATATTTTGAAAAAAAAACATACTAAGCAAAACCCTTCCGTCTTTTATTTAAATGTTCTATTAATCCTTACTTAAAGTCATAATGTTGTACTAGGCTAAGCTAACCTATCCCTATAGATTAAACGGTTTTTAGCGTTTTAGCTTCCAATAAAATTTTAAAAACCCTCTTTAACGTTTATATTCGATCGGTTTTGTCATTTTACGTTTTTCTGCAATTTTTACCGGAAAAGTGAAATTCTATATATTTAGATCGTTTTATAGAGTTTTAGAATTAAGTTTGTCTTTGAAACATTTAAATATTTTATAATTATTATTAATTGTATCTGTAACGTTTTTTGAATGTCCACCACATATAGGTAGGTATTTAAATTTAAATAGTAGAATATAGTGATGCATTTGTTCCCTTGGTGGTGCTTACTACATATTTTAATAATAATAGGGACTTCTCTTTTTATACAACCGGATTTTTTATTAGAAGGGTATAAAAACGCGGTTCTTTTTTTAGTAAATTCTTCTCCCCTTGGAGGAATAAAAACCAACTAGATCCGTTAAGTAAAACCGTTGTAACTATACTTTAACGTACGAAATTTATTCGAAACAGTTGATCGATGAACGTTTCACTTTAACTGCTTATTAATTTCAATTTGTAAAGTTATTATCTTAAATATTTTTAAAGTAGGCGTTAGAGTCAGACGCCCTACGCTTTTAAAATAGAAATTAAAAAGAATTAACGAGTAAATAGATATTTTTGAATGTTTCGTTTTTCAAAATTTATCGATACTTTTTGCCCATCTAGGTGTTCGTTTCCTTCAGTTTCTGTGAAGGATATTATTTTTAAGTGGAATGTCTTTTGATATTCCAAGTGCGTTAATTTGTCTTCTAATTTATTGGAAGTTCGTGTACGTCGTCTATGTTTCCGGTGGATTGACCGGACTTGGATCCCTCAGTCTGCACGTATTCCGCCCTTCGGCATGCGCAACACACCTTTTTTTCCCCTAAATCGTTCGCCATGAACCAACGTTGTGACAAAAACAATACGTAACGAATTCAAAAAAAGTTTTGTTTACCAGTTACGCATTGTTTTTCGTTGATGACTTCTAAAATCAATTTATACAGAAAAGTTCGACTAGAAATAATCGTCAAATATTAACCGATTACACATCTGCAGCTTCTAATTTTGATATAGTATTGAAACACTTGAAATTATAGTTCTATGTACGCTGCATTCAATTAGAAAACAATAAACAAATTTGAGACGCCGCTGTAAGATTTATTGAGTTCTTTGGAGAATGTTGTACAGTTATAAAAATAGAAGAAAATAGCCCATTTTAATTTCATAATTGAATAACTTATAATGTCGATCAATTTTCTGGAACAATAAGGAAAACCCTCGACATGTTTTTGTTTTTGAGAAAAACAATTTAATCTTGAAAAAGAAGGGAACAAAAACTATTTTAATAACGACTAGAGGCAGGTATAAGAAAAACAAAACTTTTCCTTCAATAACGGGCCAGGAACAAAGCGAAATTGTCGACAGTAAATTCTCGTGGAAAACGCGGAGCAAGGTAATCGTGAGTTCGTAAAAGGATAAGGTTGACCGGACCCAGACCCTCGACCGGATTCATCCGTGCGTCCTGCGCAAAACGTTTCGTCGAGAAACATCCACTTCTTTTAAGGTATTCATGAAGGAAGCAACAAGAGGGTGGCTGGCTGGCGCGTACATAAGAAGAAGGTATGCGGCCTTAGATGACGACGACGACGACGTCGTCGTCGACAACCGAGCACGGGACGTCGGCCTGCCTTGGTCGCTGCTGCTGTTGCAGCTATAATTTAAGTTGGGGTTGCAACCCTCGCCGGTTGCCACGGCAACAGCATTAGTATCCTTAGTCACACATCGATCGCGCTCTCCCTCCAGCTTGTCTAAACATTTCGCCCCCGCAATTGACAACCAGCGAGGAGGACGCTCACACAGACCTGTGCAAAATGATGCGAACAAGAAAAGAAAAAATACTGTTTTCAGACATAAGCATAAACACAAAAAACACGAGGTTATCTATCCAATCAAACATTTTATGTTCGGAATATTTGCACTCAACAAAAAATATGCAAACCAAAATGATATTAAACACAACACATAAATGACTAGGTACTTGTCTGTATTATTAGTTAATTAATTTTTTTGAAACAAGGCCCTTTTTGTTAAAATGGTGTAATATATTCTAAAAAGTATATAAAGAAAGTACAAACTAATATTAGTACACAATTTAAAAATTATAATTTGGTTAAAGCACACGCATCCTAACTACTATTATAAATGCGAATGCGAGTTTGTTTGTTACCATTTCAGATCTTAACTACTCAACCAATCTTCATGAAAATTTTTACACATATTGTCAGGGGTACAGAAAAGGACATAGAGTACTATTTATTCAGAAAAAATACTGTTGAATAGTCTCTTCTCTTCTCGATCGTACAGTAAACCTAGAAAATTAGATGATGATCTTGATCAGGACTTAATAAACAAATTTATCAAATTATTGTATTTCCGATGATCTTTGACAAGTATTTAAGACATCAACGTCATCAATTTCTATAAACTTATTTACATATATTTATATGCATCTCATACGCTATGAGCGAAAAATAGGCCTTATCCTTTTGCAGTAGGTATCTAGTTCTCGTATTGTCGAGGATTAGGAATATTTGTCGTAATTAGGGACTTTTTTTTCAAATTGTTTGCTCTCAACACCAACAAATAATAGTAATTCGTAGGAAAATCAATAGGTCAATACTTCCATTAAGAAAATGTGCTCTTTCAAATTATGCCCAAGTTACTTTTTTAATTTGTACATTTTACTATTAGACGTATAGTAAAAAATTAGTTATTTCAGTTTTCAGTTAATAAAAAAAGACGTACCAACGGCGTTCTTTTCCTCTTAATTAATAAACTTTCTCGTAAATATCATACGTTCTGAAAAAAAGTAAAATAAAAAAAAATAATAACAAAATGAGATCTATTTAATCCTATAATTTTTCTTTTATTTTTTCGATTTTCAATTTTTCAAAGAATTCTGTAATTTAACATTACAAGGCGAAGTGAAGAAAAAGCATAATTCAACCAGAAAATTTGCAAAAATCAAGGAAATTTAATTAATTAAAAACGGCCAGCGCCCTTGTTTAAACATCTATAATACTCGAATCATATTATCAGTTTGAATTAATTTTATCAAATGATTGGATTTTATGCAATTACAGATTTTGTAATTCGAGTGCGACATACAGGTAGGTAGGTACATTGCCAAATAGGAAATCAAATTAAGTAAGGAGAATGAATTGGGCAATCAAAACAACAGATGTACCTACATAAAGAAATTTAGTTACAAAATTTTCTTTCGATCTTTTACCAGTAAGTTTAACTAATCAATAACCTTATCGTTCGAAACTCCAAAATAATATTCATTTTTTCAAAAAAGTGCGAATATATAGGAGATAAACCGAATTAAAATCGAAGTCTAAAAGGAATATGTATTGGAAAAGATTTCTGATACGCAGCGAAAGTGAACTGAAGAATCAAGTATTTTGACATTATTAAACCAAATATATATGGTAAACAGTTAATGATAAGGCAGTAAAGTTTACGAATTTTCCGTTTATATTCAGTGGGTGCATGAGTCTCATCAATACTTATACTTTGTACTTTTGTATTTATATTTTTGTGGTCTACAAATAAATCAAGGAACTGATTTTTATATGCTTATATTAAGACAAAGTTGTCCGATTTGTTCTTAATTTATTCGTAAAAATAGTCATCACTTGTTTGTGAACGATTGTACAATGTTTTTAAAAATGATAAAGCTGTTATCAAAACAAAGCTCTACATAAATGGCATAAAGCTCATTTTAATTGGTTAATTGTGGACTCTGATTGTTTCAGGGATGACGGTTGATTGAAGATGGCCTCACCGACACCCTCATTAGAATCATTACCAAGAGCAAATTCAGTTGGATCTTTTGGAGAACAAGCAGATTACTTATCATTTTCGCCATTGGCAGATTCCCCTTTAACAGTAAGCGGTTCATCTCCTCCCGTTTCGGATTCCGTAGACCGCGACAGCGATCCTTCAGATCTCCATTGTTTACAGTGCAAAGAAGTGGTCAACGATCCTAAACTTTTGGCCTGTTTTCACACATTCTGTAGTAATTGTCTTGATAAAAGCAAGTTCACGTGCCCTCGCTGTCAATCAGATTCGATTGAGGGTTTCATTAATAATCTCTTACTGAATTCATCCGAATCTAACGAATCTTTCGTCCCCAGTGTACGTTGCACCGGGTGTAAAACTAAAAAACTAGACGCAGTTGCCCGCTGTGTCGATTGCGTGAATTATTTATGTGAAAACTGTGTCATGGCGCATCAATTCATGCACTGTTTCGAGGGCCACAGAGTGCTCAACCTGACCGAACTAAAAGAAGAGACCAAGAATGGAATCATCACAAATACTTTGACAAACGGAGGCCTAGCCAACAGCAGCGAGAAAGGCACTCTGTGTCCACGACACAAAAGTGAGATTTTGAAATATTTCTGTCGCACTTGTGCAGTGCCTATATGCAAAGAATGCTGCACGATGGAGCATCCCGCCGGCTTACACGAATACGAGCATATTAGCGAAGCGGCCCCGAAGCAGTTGGAAGCAATTACACATGCTATCCAGGAGGCTAAAGCTAAAGCCACAGATATCAGGAATGTTCTAAAGAACGCCGAGCACGCGTCCAGTAGATTACAAGTACAATATCACAAAGCACAAAATGAAATCAACGACACTTTCTTATTCTATCGATCGATGCTGGACGAACGTAAGCAAGAACTGTTAAAAGAATTAGAAAGTGTATTTTCTGCTAAACAAATAGCCTTAGGAGTGGCGTCTCAAAAAGGCCAAGACGCAGTAGAACAAATTTACAAAACTTGCGAATTCGTAGAAAAGCTAAACAAATGTGCAAGTGTTGTTGAAATTCTTATGTTTAGGAAACTGCTAGATAGCAAACTCCAAAGCTTGTTGAGTTTTAACGTAGATCAAAGTGTTCAATCTGCATGCGAACTTGAATTCGTCTCGAATTATCAAGCCATTCAAGTGGGTGTTAGAAACACATTCGGCTACGTGAGATCAAATTCTGAGGTATCAGTGGGACCTAGCAAACAGCCACCCATCGCAAGGCCCACGGGAGGATCGAGTTCAAGCGGAAGCAGCGTTAATGGTTCTTCAGGAAGCATAAATGGCGGTGGCATACACTGTTCGTTTTCCATGACAAATTGTAGTCAATCTACATCACCGTTCGAATCGAACATTATTTCCAAACGATTCAGCAGTGCCAATAGTTTAGGCCCCTTTTCAACCACAATTAGCGATCTTAACTTGAACAGCATAAATCCTTACGAAAAATGGTCTAATGGTGGATCAGACAGTATCTTCCAAAACGGTACAGCAGATCCATACTCTCTCACTTCTGCTGGCACCGACCCTATGTTAGATCTTACTTCCAAACTTATTTCTGCGCCTATATTTCCACCTAAGTCGCAAATAAAACGCCAAAAAATGATCTACCATTGTAAATTCGGAGAGTTCGGAGTAATGGAAGGCCAGTTCACTGAACCAAGTGGCGTGGCCGTGAACGCACAAAATGACATAATAGTGGCCGACACCAATAATCACAGAATTCAAATTTTCGACAAAGAAGGGCGATTCAAGTTTCAGTTCGGCGAGTGCGGTAAACGCGACGGTCAGTTACTTTATCCCAACAGAGTTGCTGTCGTCCGCACTTCCGGAGACATAATCGTTACCGAGCGTTCTCCTACACATCAAATTCAAATTTATAACCAGTATGGTCAGTTCGTTCGAAAATTTGGAGCTAATATCTTGCAACATCCGCGCGGCGTGACAGTTGACAATAAAGGTTGTATTGTTGTGGTGGAATGCAAAGTAATGCGCGTCATCATTTTCGACCAAACCGGGGCAGTGTTACAAAAATTCGGTTGTTCCAAACATCTCGAATTTCCGAATGGTGTTGTGGTCAACGACAAGCGGGAAATTTTCATAAGCGATAATAGGGCTCACTGCGTGAAAGTGTTTAATTACGAGGGGGTGTATCTACGCCAAATCGGTGGTGAAGGAATTACAAACTATCCCATCGGTGTGGGAATCAACGCTTCCGGCGACATCCTCATCGCCGACAATCATAACAACTTCAACCTCACGATTTTCACCCAAGACGGTCAATTGGTATCCGCTCTCGAAAGCAAAGTAAAACATGCGCAGTGTTTCGATGTGGCACTAATGGATGACGGATCCGTCGTATTGGCCAGTAAAGACTATCGATTGTACATTTACCGGTACGTCCAGGTTCCCCCAATTGGTCTCTAAGTTTTGACAACGCTCTCTGACGTGCGGACTCCCTACCACTGTTATTGTTCGTTTCGCAACGTTTAATTTTTAATCTGCCAATGTAACATATATTTTCGGAATTGTTAGATAACTTACGATAAACACGAATCGAATTTTCTGTGCCTCATAATACAAAACAGCGTGATGCTTCACGTTACATACATAAAAAAGGCCAACAATTAGTTTTAGAAGTTTAAATTATTTATTTTTGCGTGAGAACAGCATATTTAATTTTTAAAGAGCAACGTTAAAATAATTTATGTTATGGAAAATGTCTGTTAAATAACTAATTTTTCAATTTAATATAGATTATTATTAGTATCTACTATCTATATGCGGTTTGCTGGTCCTGGATTAGCGTTATGCCGGTAATATAAGTCGCCTGTCAATTCAAACGTTTCATGCAACATATCCAGAAAAGCGAACGCGAATTTGGCAAAGAAACCGTCTTTTTTGTTTCTTCTTTCTTGAAGTTGGTTTATTTGGCAATTTGCGTCTGCTTTTTTGGAATTTCTATCGTTCTTTTATATTGATTACATATTTCCTGTTGGCTGGTTCTTGACCGCGATTTATACAGCTTACGAATGTTAATCCAGCACCGTAAATGTTTAATTTGTATTGCAGCATGGAAGATTCGAAATATGACTTCTAAGCATAACAAGAAAACGTGTTTTCATATAACGTAGTACTGCAAACTCGAGGAATGGACTAAGAAATTGTTTGCTGTTGTAATTCAATTTTAATCAATGATTTTCCTCCGGTAAGACGATAATTTTATGTGCTGACGCTTGACGATACATACAATCGAAAAGAAAACTGTGTTATTCAGATTTATTGAGGAGAAAATTTTGACGGAAAACTGAAAATAATAATTTACCTACTCTTCGGAGTGAAGCGGCCCATTAAAGAGACTAACACCACTCCCCAATTCAGCACACAACAGCAACAGGGAAATAAAATAAATTTTTAATAATAAATAAACTAAAGCTGATCACGAACGTGTTGTGTACGAAAAAAACGAGTGGTGCGTGGGCCATTGTTGTATTTTAAATTGTGCATCAGTTTACATATAATTATCTATTTTAATATTTGTGTAAGATGTTGTGAATGTCTTTAGCATAGCGCGTTGTTATTTTGCGGGAAGCCGCGTTGTTAGCGACCCTAGTCACCCACGAAACACTTTCTGTATCTCTATTTTTGTATTGTTACACTACTGCGTGCCGTGCCCATAGTTAGCTCGTCGTTTTATTTTGTTATTTTTCTATTATCGATTAGTTTAGTAATATTATTATTATTTGGTGCATGCATTAATTCACCATTATTTTTTATACATTTAAGCTCTAGTGAACGTAGTATTTTGTTATTGCTGCCAGAAATAAGATAAGAGTTGGAGATGTTCGACGTGCAGGACGATCTCCGCGCTCTACTTAATGACCAAGACTTAAGTAAGTTTTGACATTTTAGTTATTTCGACATAAAGCAATCAGTGCCTCTCAACTATTACTACTACTACTACTATTATTATTATTATTATTACTATTTCTACGACTATATTTCTCGACTTTTTCTATTTATAAATAAATGTTATTGCTATTATAAGATGTTTGCCAATTAGTACCACAATCTATTGCAATGAATGTTCTTATTCGTTTTCTGATTGTTTTATGTATACGAACACAGTTATCAGTTTATTTATGTCATTATTATCTTATTTATATATTAGTGCTATTTTGTTAAATATGAAACGAGTACCACAAACATTATTGCATTTATTTGGGGACTGTGCGATGATCTCATTTTACAATCAGCCCCCGCAACTGACTGCACTCTTTCGTGACTTGCAGGTGGCCCTTTATGATACACATCTGATCAGTGTTAAGTTGTTTTTTACTATGAGAGTACTTTCTATTTTTTCTATTGTTCCTGTAGTAGACCCCTCGGATGTGCCTGCATGAAGTTGCCCCTGAGTCAGTCCTGACTGTAAACACTATTATTTCATCAGTATAAAAGTAGTAGTTTTGTTGTTATTATTGTATTAGTTTTTATGGTAAACTTGTTCTTAAATTAAATGTACATTGTTTTGTTTTTGATTTTTTGTTGTAAAATGCTTTTTTAATTAATAATACCAGTTTCTTGCAGTTTTTATTTAGTTTTTTTTTTATTTTTTTTTGTCAACAAGACTGAACGCAACGTGACTTATCCATCCCTGGCTCACAGCTCGATCGATTCTATTGTCTTCATATAATATTTTATTTGCATTTTCGAGAAATTAATTTTTAATTAGACGACCTTATTGACCTTACTGCTACTACATTGCGTCCATCTCCCATTTTAAACATGAATTTTTACAGGTAATTCCCACAAAGAAATATAGGTACTTTCCGTAAAAAACAATTATGGAAAGGTAGCATCATAAAGACTTCTTCAATTAGTGTAACCTGTAAAGGTGCATGTTTTGTTTTTCGTTAACATTATACTATAAAAAGGGATCAAAATTATTTTACTATTTATTAACTACGATTACGAGTTCTCCATTTAAATTCTTCATAAAAGGGTTAGCCTAATAGTTCTGAAATACGTCTCTTAATGTTTATTTCCTACGAATTCCATAAAAAATAGATTTTGAGAAGCGATTGAAACCTTCAAAATCCCATGTAGTATTTTTTATTTTTTCGATCGTCGTGAGCATCTCATGTATCTATCTAGTGAAGTTGCTATCGGTACAGTCTTGAGTTTGACCGCTGCGCTGCCTAGAGCACGGCACGGATTGAGTTTCTTTTCAATCCTAATTAGTGTAAGTAATATCTCGTGAGAAAGAGAAACATACTTATTGTCTGAACAATCTTCCTGGGCCCAACTTTAGATCCTTACTAGTTGTAGCGTGTGATTTTTGTAGTTTGATAGTCATTAGTTGGTAGAAATAGAAGTTGAAATACTTGTATAAGCAGTTTGAATTTTATTAGTAATCGGGCGTTATCGCGATGTACTTTTTTTTTTTAATTATTATCGAAGCGTTTTCGGAAAGACTGATCAATAACTTATTTTCCTCTGATATAGTCAACTGAGGTGTAGAACAGTTACAATAGGGATACTCACCGTGCGCAGGTTTTTAACGTAAGCGCGAGGCAATCCGTTGGCTTAAGGGATAAAAAACTACAGGCAGCTTTACGCACAACCAACCTGCAGAAAGGCAACTACCTGTTTGACTTATTTAATACAAGTTGTCTAATTAATCTGACCCGAAAGAGCACCAGTTGTCTTGCCAAAGGTTTGCCTCCGATCTATTTGCGCAAGGCCAAAATTTGACTACGTTACGTTTAACCTTCATGTCAATTACTCTAGGGAACACAAATTAACCATTAAAAGTGTACATACTCTCCTACTGTACCACCAATAGTATTACAGTGGATAATTCTTGTTAGGTGGATTGCCGCATTTCATGTAGTTGTATACGTGTACGGGTTCTGAAATAAGTCAGCGGCATTCGCGCATGCGTTGCCGGCCGCCATAATAATAATTTAAGCAGTTACAGAATATGACGTCGAACGTTTAACTTTTTGGAGCCCGTATGTTCGTATATCGAGTCCTTCCTTCGTGGGTTACACATTCCTGTCGCACAATCTCTTGTTATTATGCTGCACGAAATTGTTCCAGATTATAAATTTTTATACCTTTGATGCATTTTGCTCATGTTGTAGATTGTTGTTGTGCACTGTTAATGCGTCACGCCGCAGAGTCCACTACTCTTTCAACCCACTATTATTCCCGGCATTCAATGCGCTCGACAGAATTTCTAACAGACTGTGATTATCGGAAATGCCTTCCCTTGACCCGGACGTTGATAACTGTTGACCGCTGTCATTTCAGACAAATTAAAAAAAAAATCGCAATTTCTCATACCGTTTTAAAGAAATAAGCACAGCAAGAGGTCGCTTTAAGTAGACATACACACAAATAGATCAGGATTTTTGTTAAATATTAAGTCAATATCGTGGATCAAATCTACTTTTCTTATAATTAGTATTATTTGCAGGATTGTGAACTATTTCTAAAGATCTCTTGCATTTTTTTTACTGTTATTTCAAGTCAGAAACATTTCATAAGTGCTCTCTCTGTAATATATGTCTATGCAATATGATATATATTTATATAGTGTGCGTAAAAGTTCGGGAACTAGTTACTGGCATATCGAGGACTATTTTTACCGAAGTCCCGAAAAAGAAAAGTACGAAACGTGACTTCCCTTTTTCTAACCCACTCAAGGTGCGCGCGTCTTATATGCCAAGCTCTTCCAATCTTTGCCCTATTCAAGTACGAACACCAATGTATGTACTTTTTGTACTGACTGTACTAATTACACCAATGCTCCTTGCTTATTGGCTGGAATTAGCGGACCAATGAGAGCGCAGGCCCGCGCCACCGATAAACGTAGCTGCTTATGTCTACCTAGTCTAGTCGTTTTATATCAAATAATATGATAATGTATTTTTATGAATGTGCTTTGTACGTCTCATACTTGCCAATTTCTAACTATATGTTTAAGGATGTAGCTTAGGTATTTGTTAGGACTGATCGATAATATTATGTGTTTCCTGTTGTAAGGCGACTCTAAAATATGGCGCGCTAAAGATTTGTTGTGGCTGGCAGATGACTACCAAATTCATCAGTCTTTACGAATTATTTCAATGAGGTTTTCTTCAATCTGAACCCCAAATTTGGCGAGAATGTCTTATGGCATCACTTTGCCTTTTCTATGCATTCCATAGCTACCTATTATTCAACGAGACCGTTTAAGAAATTGTTACTTTAATCATTTGTAGAATGCAAACTGTAATTCGCAATTGAAAGAAATGCATTAGCTGTATTTAAATTTTTTAGTGGGAGCTACTCAGGCAATGGAATTAAATAATAATAAGCGCACTGAATTTAATTCATGTGAATTTTATAGAATTTTTAACTTAATAATTATAATTAATTAATGGGAACATATCAGTATTCAGGTGCTAGTGATGGTAATAAAATAATGCCTATGTAATTTTATGTTTAAATTATGAATAATATTGCGTAGAGTCATTTAGTGAAATGTGTTATTAATGTTTAACTTTGTTACAACGACATTTTAATTGGAAATGAGGTAAATAATTTTAAATGTAACAGTATAACTAATTAAAGAAAAGAACGTCTCTGATGACCGTAATAGAATTTTTTAAAAGCGCGCACGTTCTTGATTTGCTTTTCAACGTAAGACAGTCCCGGTGGTGCACGAGTTGTCTTTAATTAATTTATCCTTAATGCACTCTCCTCTCACAATATTAGCTGTGTTTTAAGGGTTGACGTGGATTGTGAGTCTTCTGCCAGTCTCTAGCGCCCAATCAAACTCACTCACTACGATTTAGATCTTTGTCCGTCGTGGTTCCTGCCGCCAGTCAAAAAAATGTTGACTAGTTGCCGCAGAGATACATCTGATAGCAATAGAGCGTGTTATTTATTTGTAAATTGCATGTACTAGCATACGAACATATCCTAGCGATATTCACACTCCCGATAATGTGCTTCTTTGCTTGCTTGTGGTGCCGAACTATCTATGTACGAGATGTGTTGATTGGTTACGACGAGAAGGATAGTAATAACGTGATAACGATAATTAATATTATTATTAACGATTAGTGCATGTAGAGAGTTAATATTATATAACCCCCTGCCGCCTAAGCTTAAAAATAATACATTAATTAATTAATTAATTAATATGTGTTTCTCTTGACCGTAAGACTGATGTTAGATGTGCGAAATTGAACTAATAAGGCAATATATTTTTGAGCTATGTTTGTTAACTAATCAAAAATAATAAAAAAACGAAATGTTAATGTTCGTTTGTTATGCAGTAGGGCCCGAATATGGCCGTCTGCTTGGCCTATAGCCTGAAACGCATGCGCCCCTCCTTGCACTCGCACGCTTGATTTCTCTGTGTATTCGTTTTAAATTTGCAGAAGGAAACTCGACAAGGAATGTGCGCAAAGATTGTCATACATTTTCAAATGGTACGAGCCGAAAACTTTACCAGCTACAAGTGCTTAGGTACTTTTACATCAAGTATTTAAGTTACCACCTTATACTGAATCAATGGCACGTGAAACCCAGTCATGTACAGCAAATGCTTTTTGAGTTATTAATTCTTTTTACTTTTATGTCTTCAAACAATTTAGAAAAGTATTTATTTGAACTTGTAGTGGTTCAAAACATGACATTTTGTTAAATTGATTTCAAAACTTATGACCTCATTTCGAAACAATATATATATATACAATTCTGAGGGTTAATGTTGTTTCTTGTAAGACTTCTCAACCAACGATTAGGGAAAAAATGGCTACTGCGGTAGGTACCATGTCAATTTTTGTAGACTTCCGCAAGGACAAGAAACAGAATTTAGGAATGAATCTTTATCATTATGACTACCCAGAATAGCAGAAATATTTGCATATGATAAAAAAAAGAAAGCCAAATTATTTAGCTCCTGTTTCTTTTAGATATTTAAGAAAAATGTAAGTAAATAAGAGCCGTTGTAAGAGTATAAATAAAATCTGTGTGGATCAGATCCGGGTCAGGACAAAATGGTAATCAATTTAAAGGACTTGAAGTAATAGCACGAGCTTGAACAAAATTGATTTCCTAATTGAGACTTACTGAATAACGAGGGTTTGCTGTGCATGACAGGAAACTGATGCGTACTTGAAATAATTCTGTGACTGCAAATTTAAAAGGTGATATATAGTGTACTGATCCAGTGCAACTCACTTGTTTATTGCGGCAGTGGACAATAAAGTTACCCACTTGTTGGCAACTATGTACTAAATTTTCCAAGTATTTTCCACGTTGTTAATCAAAATGTTATTAAATTATTAGGTTAATGTTTACCTCGGAACTTGACACATTCCAGATGAATTTATTTTGATACAAACTGTAGTAGTTCGATGTACGTGTACATTAATTTTACTATGGAGCACATTATCTGGCTAAACATTCCGTACAAACACTGTTGGTCCTGTTACATTTTGAAAATATATTAATAATTTATATGTTGTAATGATAAACTATTTTTAAGAGTCAAAAAGTAACCGTTGTGGACCCGGCCCTGTGCTGGAGTTTATTTATTTATTTATCTGTTTTATTTTATATTCGAAAATTTCTATTTTTCATAATGCAGTTTCTTGTTATTAGATGAAACAAGTGTGCCTAGTCAGTAGAGTTCAGGTCAATTTTAAGGAATAGTTAATATTATTGGGATGTTGTGCAGTTCCGTTCTACAAACCAGCTCGTTCCATTATAATTTCCCCCAAAATTTATTATCGTCCTTGTCGTTTAAGGTTATTATGCAGGGTGCTATAAATTTTAGCGGAATTTACATGCAATCTTAAGGTAACGCCACGTTTTTTTTTAATTCCCGAAAAAGATTTTGAATATTGCTAATTTCTTAACACCACGTTATATGATGCACTAAATCGAGTAAACGTTTTTACCTATTTTACAATTATCTTTGTTCAAGATTCCAATTTCTAGCACTCGGTATAATTATAGTATTTAGTTGGTGTTTTTTTGGTTATTTTCTTACTAGAAGCACTCTTGGTATAAGTCTCTTGAAGTTGTTACATGAGCATAAGAGTGAATATTTTTTGTGTGTTATCTATTTCTACAGTGTTGACGAAAATGTTCAAAGAAATTATATTGTATCTCGTTCTAAACGACGCTGGCAATAATAAATTGGTGGAGTGAAATTACCCGATCTCTAGAACGATGCTGGATTATATGTAAGTCATATTAGGTGAAGAATACGTGGTTTCTACCGATCGCCAAACTTCACCCTTTTCAGGGCACCAACAATTTCATACGCATGTTTCAGCTTTACTGTTTCTCTTGATAGTGTGTTTGGTTAATTACTTTATGAATCGCTTTTACTTATGGAATTGAGTATGATATTTATAATTATACCATATCAGTTTGTTATAAGCGTGTATACTGCAATGGTGTATTTAATAAAGCATTTGATTTGCTTCAAGTCGTCTTTATTTTCTACTATATATTACTTATTAAAAGATTCACATGATGGTAAGGTGTAATCAAATACCTATAATAAGGGCTTAGTAGGTAACTAGTTTAAGTTGATCCATCATTATAAACAACGTTTTAATGTGCACCCACTCCTTTAGAACACAACAAAACAGGGTCTTTAATATGCCAAAAATATTCTTCACATCAAATAGGAGTATTAAGCGAATCCATCTAGTGTAAGCGTCCAGGTACGTAACTACTAGGGGTGTACAAATTGATTTTTTAAAAGTATTTAAATACAAAATGCAAATGCTTTTTTGTAAGCGTCCAGGTACGTAACTACTAGGGGTGTACAAATTGATTTTTTAAAAGTATTTAAATACAAAATGCAAATGCTTTTTTGATTTCCATTTTAAATACGTATTTTTAAAATACTTTTTTCACATAATTACTTTTTTGTAGTACCTATTTAATCTTTTACATTTACTTAAGTAGGTATAAAATATTTTCTAAGAAAACCTTGTGTTTGCTCATTTTTTAAATACTTATTGGAATTTTTCTAGACTAATAGTGATGTTTGCACTATATCACCAGGTGCGAAGTTTAAGTATGATTCATATTTTTCTGATTGAAGTGATTGTGATATAGTTTTTCTATCTTTATGTTATAGATTCTTCAGTTCAGCAACAAATAATTCTTCTATATGCTTCCTTTTTTGCCTACGTCACCGTTTTAATTGGAAAAAAGACACTGATTCCAAAACAGTTTGCTGTGTGAAAGATCAAAGTCAAAATAGGGTTGCAAATAATTTTATTATTGTAAAATCAGCATCAATCATTTTATATCAAGATATTTACAACCCCGTTTTGTTTCTGATCTTTTCCACATTCCAATAATAAGAGAAAGAAATAGAGTCCAGAGTTTCTTTAGCTTTGGGTTCGCCTAAAAAGTGAAATTTTTTGAATCGTTTTAGAAATCGTTTTTGAAGAATTTTGGATTGTATGTATTCATTAACACACCACAATATTTTGTAGTTTTCAGTTTTACACAGCTGGCGTATATTAATTTGATATTGTTTTGCGAGCTGTTTTGGAATTTTGCTAAAGGTGTGATAAATGGTGATTTGGCAAGTGCTGATATCAATTTGGAACTTCAAAATTCCATGAATCATGACATCAAACCCAGAAAACTTCAAAACTTCTACTACCTTCAATAGCCAATTTGAGCAACTTTCATTCATCATTTTATATAATGTTTGATCGGTGATACCAGTAAAAATGTGTTTTACATTTTACAAATGGAAAATATGTTTGAAAAAGTATTTTTCTCAAAAAAGTATTTAAATGCAAGATAAAAATATGTATGTCAAGGCCTAAGCTTTGAAGCAACTTCTTATAACCATCACCCAATACGTTTTGCTTAAGATTAACGCAAAATTAAGCAGTGTTTTTATTTAATGATGTAAAATACTTATTACTTACAATTAGTTCAAACTGAGATGTTTCGAACGTGATTGCTGCATTATTTACCCAAGAAAATATCACTTCCTGGCCAAGAGGTGATAAGAAATAGGATGCGCATCAGGGGAGGATATAAACATGAGGTCTGGCACACTTTATCCTTCATAATGCGTAATATCTCGCAACTCAACAGTCAAGTTGATGTAAGATTACGTATATATGATCGTCAGTTTTACGAAACTCGGGGCATCTTAGATTATATGGAACCTAAAATCTACAAGGTGATCCACCTTTGGTTCATACAAAAAAAGCGTTTCTGTAAGCTGATTATTTATTGGTCGGTTATTATTGATGATAAGGCTGACGCTCAAAGTTCAAACATACTTTATTATTTACAGAAAAATATTAATACATATACATATTTACTTTTAAAAAATTGTTGGAAGTCCAGTCTTCGATCTTCGCGGTCCGGACCTGGACCGCGGTACGCCAATTACCTACCGTTGATCTAGATGGAAGGAAAACCCTTTTTGAAATTAAACAAAGAATAATAATAATTGTGTATTTATTAATCGGGTTATCTTTCTTCGTAATGCACGACTACAGATATTTTTTACTTAATAATTCAAACTACAGACAATGCTACTACTTCGTTTGCTAATCCACAAAGATTGCCGCCCACTGCTATATACAAGTAACCGTTGTTTCCAAAAGTTTTTCCCCATGAGTTCTTCGCTATGTAATGCGGGATTTCGTCAGAAAGGTCGTAACCTACCAGTTGAACTGCGTGATTCATGTATTTTAAGGAACTGCTACAATGAAACTGAATAACACCGCCAATGTAATTTTGCCAGGTGAGGGCATTTATTGATACAGCGATTGGTCCATGAGTAGCCAACAATTTTAAAATCATTTCCTCGTTATCTGCGAAACTATGTAAAGACATAATTATTTATTTTTCTATTGATATTTTTTTATTTTATATAAGTTTTGATATTACGTCATTTTATTTTTAATTACGTATTTTAAATTTTTTGTAGAAATGTTTCATTATTTTTGAAATTTGTAGTAAATGGTCGTTAATTAATGGGTAGATTGAAAATCTCAATCGTATAAAAATGTTTATGTGTTATAC